GCCCCACACACACACACAAAATACTGCTCTATTTGCTGGCTGGGTCTGAAGTCTCTTTGATGAGAGCAATTTTTTATTGATGGTTGGAGAGATTGTCCAAATGAACATACATACCTCAGGATACAGCTTAAATTCCTACCATGCTGTCACCTGACACTCCTGAAAGGAGGATGAAAAGAGAGGGGAAAGCGTGGGATGGGGAGATAGTGACCTGAAGGAGAGCAAATGACCCAGAAAGGGAAACTTGGGGACAAAGACAAAGCCGACCTACAGTAGAATTCAGTCAAAGATCAGCTCTGGACCACAGTAACTGAAGCACACATCTGCCCTTGTCCTCTGCCATCAGCACAGAGCACTTTCCATCATAATCTGCTTCTTAAGGGCAGAGACACAAAGGTCTGCAAGAAAACACACACCCTCATTTGCCCTTTGTTTATGAAGGCCATGGGCGTAAGGTTCACAGTATGCTATGCTGAATAGCGCCGTGAACTATGTAGGTATTATTTGACTTTGGACAAGTCACTTCACCTCTCCAGGCTTTAGTTTCCTCATCTATAAAATGGGGTGGTTAAACTGGAAAGTGTTCCAAGTTCCTTTCCAGTTCCGCTGCTCCTAAGTTCCCTAGGTCACCTGCCCCTATTTGGATTCAGTAGAACATAGAGGATTATTTCCTTTGCCCTCCTGGTACCGTCCTCTGAGGTGCTTCTTCTCTATAATTGATTATACCTGAGTTGTAGGATGCCTCGGCCCTATCTGGATTCTTGGTCTTTGTTGCTTACTGGCTGCAAGTAACCTTGGAAAATCTTTACTCCTCTGCTCATTTATCACTAGAAATGAGCCATAGCTCCTGCCTGGCAGAGTCAATGGGAGTTCAGAGTTGATGTATATCTTTTCTTTTTCTTTCTTAGAAAAATGCCTGACTCAACGCAAGGATTCTCTAGTCATTGGCTCCCTTCCTTCAATCTTGCTGATTGAGTCACATTGGCTTGGATGTGTTAGGAGGAGGTAAGCTCAAGAACTGTCCCGCAGATGTATCAGTTAAGCTATAGGCTAAGCTACTGTAACAAAGAGACTCCAAAAAACTGTGGTCTGAATGTGTTCAAGTTTAATTTCTATCTTATAAACAGCAGTCATAAGATAGTCAGAGATAGGAGGTTGGTGAGCAGCACTCCTCTGTGAGACCCCAATTTTCCATATCCTGCTCTTCTTCAAGACCAGCTCAGAGCCCACCTCCCTTAGAGGCCCCAGATCCTTCTTAATCTGCAGAGATCACACATCGTCAGCTCTCCTCAGTGGACACTCAGCAATCACTGCTTCACAGTGCTAGATAACTTTGCAGGTGAGAAAGTTGTGACTGCTCCATCAGATTGGGAACTCCTTGAGGTCGGCAGTCATGTGTTCTTGACCTTTATCATCCCCAAGCCCACTCGGCCTCAGAAAAGTGCCTAGCATGCTGCTCAACACACGGTAGTCTCTCTAGGAGGGTCTGACCCAGAGTGAACACATTCCTGGGGCCTACAGCCAGCCACGATCATGAAAGCTGAGGTGTTTACTTAGTCATCATCATCTTACATATCTTTCAGCTTAATTACCATGCAATTTCTTCATACCTTCCAATAAATGAGAGAAAAAAATGTGTCTCTTTGGAGAGTGCGTGTGAAAACTAACTCTCATGAAAGTCTTTGACTCACCACAAAAATTCAAAAAATGTGCTCCTTATACGTGGATACAAGGAATTATCGATTTTCCTGTCATGTGCAAGTTAGGAGCCCTGAGGAAGAAGTGCTGACTGGGATGCTTAGTGAACTGAATACTTCTATTACTGTAAATTTTATAGAATCAAATTTCTTAATAGAAAATCTTACCGCAGTCATTAGTTTAGGTAACTGCCCTGATTTAACTGGCTTATGGCTAGCAATCCAAAATAGCAATGTAATTCATCATCTATCTCAGTGTTTATTTCACAGTTGTGCTTTGAAGGGAAAACCACGCTGCTCCAGTGAGCTGGTCAATGGGAGTTCTACTGAAATATTTTATTGCTGGTTAGTGGGAAGAGGACAGATTTTTTTTCACCTGCTTGAAAATTGTCATAGTAACATTCTTGTGGCCAATCTCTGTGTTAGATCAACTCCAAATTCTTTTTAAAAAATCATTTTTTAATTTTTCAATTACAGTCGACATACAATATTATATTAGTTTTAGGTGTGCAACATAGTCATCAGACATTTATATAACTTACTAAGTGATCACTCCAATAAATCTAGTACCCATCTGACACCATACATAGATATTACAATAGTATTGACTATATTCCTTAGCTGTACTTTACATCCCCGTGACTATTTTATAACTACCATTTTATTCTTCTTAACTCCTTCTCCTTTTTCACACATCCTCCCAAACCCTCCATCTGGCAAGCATCAAAATGTTCTCTGTATCTATGAGTTTGTTTCTGTTCTGTTTGTTTGTATTTTTGTTCTTTAGATTCCACATGTAAGTAAAATTGTATGGCATTTGTCTTCTCTGACCCCACTCCACACAATACCTTATAGGTCTATCCATGTTGGTGCAGATGGCAAGGTTTCATTATTTTTATGATTGAGTAATATTCCATTTTATCCATTCATCCATTGATGGACTCAGGTTGTCTCCATTTCTTGCTATTGTAAATAACGCCACAATGAACATACGGATGCACATGTCCCTTCGAAGTAGTGTTTTGGGTTTTTTTCGGATAAATACCCAGAAGTGGGATTTCTGGGTCCTTCTTTGTCTCTTATGATAGCCTTTGATTTAAAGTCTATTTTGTCTGGTATAAGTATTGCTACCCCAGTTTTTTTTTTCTTTTCCATTTTAATGAAATATCTTTCTCTATCCTTTACTTTCAGCCTGTGTGTGCAGAGACCTGAGATAGGAACAAGAGCCTGGTATGTTGGGACGATAGAAAGTAGTCTGGCAGGTGTGACTGGAACACAGCGAAAGGGGGAGTAAAGTAGGAGGCAAAGCCAGAGAGGTGGGAGGGAGCAGCTCGTGTTAAGACTTGCCTGCATAGCAAGAACTTTTGAGTTTTATTTTTAGTGCACTGGGAAGTCACTGAAGATTTCCCAGCAGGAAAATGACATCATGTGATTTATCCTCAGTGCTGAGTGACACATGGCCTGTAAAGCATCAGGGTGTTGTAGTGAATGAGGAACGAGATGATGAGGGCTGGATAAGGATGGGAGTGTGCAAGTGGGAGAGGGGCTCAGGTATATTTCGAAGGCCTTGCTGATGGACTGAATAAAGGAAGAGAAAAGTCAAAGATGACTTCTGGGTTTTAGCTGGAGCAGCTGGATGGATGTTGACGCTGTTTACAAGCTGGGCCAAACTGGAAAGGGGAAGGTTTTAGGGAGAAATTGAGTTCCACTCTATGTTAAATCGGAAATGCCTATTAGTCACTTTGTAATTCTGCATGTTTTCTACAAAGAAAATCATTCATTCATTCAGTTAGTACTTGTCGAATGAGTGGATGCCAGCACTTTTTGGCAAATGAGAGGCCAGACTCAGAGCTAAAGATTGGCAATTCAGAACGATGATGCTAACTAACTTCATAGGAAGCAGTTTCACAGATGTTATCATGACCAGTCATCTTAGCCACCTGCAGAGGCCCTGGGGCTGGGAAACGTTATCTCTCTCCTGCAGGTGGAGTGTGTGAGGCTGGGAGAGGCTGCATGGCCTGCCCAATGTGCCCGTCCCCAGGGTAGAGCCAGGCCTTGTACCTTTGTTCTTTCTGCACCAAGCTCTTGTCAGTGAGCTACAGGCCCATGAGAGAGCTGTCTTGGAAGGTCCCCACATGACATGGAACCAAGCATGGCCCTTGAGGCCATGGCGATTCTAGCCAGCGAGAAGCTGAAGGACTCAGTTCCAGCCTGAAAGTGGCCTGGGCCACCAGCAGGCAGGCCAAAGCTGGCCAGGACTTCCAAAGAGGCTTGGTTGAGCTCTGTGACAAGAGCAGTGACACCCACAGAAAGGGGTCCTCTCCTTGCCCTGGTCAGTCAGAAGCATCAGGGGGGAAAGTTTGGCCCAGGCTTTGGAATGAAACTCGGGCCAGGTTTCCCCAGCAGGAGAAAGGCCTCGCTCAGGTGGTTGGCTACACGCCAGTCAATTAATGAAGAGCCAAGAGGGAGGGGTGTGGCCCCTTTCCCAAGGCTGTATGCATTTCACATCCCTGTTTCTAAACTTACAACCTCACAACCCAGGTTGGCACATTTTCCTTAAAAAAATTTGTTTTTGTAGATCTGCATATCAAAGATAGAAATATGGATATTTATTTTTGCAGATGCAAGTAACGAATTAAATAATAACCATAATAGTGAGTCTCAAACTTAAGAGTAAAAATCAATGAGGAGAAGTGTTAGTGGTATCTTAGTCCATTTGGACTGCTATGAAAAAAATACCACAGACCTGGTAGCTTTCAAACTCCCTAATTTATTTCTCTCAGTTCTGGAGGCTGGGAAGTCCAAGATCAATGCATCACATTCTGGCGAGGGCCCTCTTTCTGATGCATAGCTGATACCTTTTCTCTGTGTCCTCACATGGCAGAAGGGGACCGGGCTCCCTCTGGAACCTCTTTTATAAGGTCACTAATCCTATTCATGAGGGCTCCACCCTTACAGTCTAAGCACCTCCCGAAGGCCCCACATCCTAACATCATCATTTTGGGGGATTAGAATTTCAACATATGAATTTGGGGGGACACAAACATTCAAGCCATAACAAATGTTATTGCACAATGGTTAGGAGCTTGAAATCTGAAACCAAACTGCCGTGTTTGACTTTAGCCTCTATCGCTTACTAGTTATCTGCTTTTGGGAAAGTTTCTTAATCTCTCAGTACCTCAGTTTATAAAATGGGTGCCCAGTCATAGATTGTGCTGAGAATTAAATGACTTAATTAATGTAAAGCATTTGGAGTAGTGCCTGCACATAGTATTCTATAGGTAAAACCTATTATTATTAATGAGTATTATTTTTATGAAATAATTGAGTATTATTTTATAAAAACAATGAGTATTATTTTTATAACTGGGTGACTTGTTAAAAATGGCAAGCTCAGAGTCATACACAGTTTTTTTGCCAGTGGGTCTGGAGTGGAGTCCAAGAGATTTTGGATGCAATTGGACCAAGCTGACACTTTGAGAAACCCTGGGCTATAAGGCAAAAATGGGCATCCAGGAACAAGGCAACATGGGAAGTACTACAGGGAGGAAAATAGGGGTGAAGAATAGTGTACACCCCACTGATTCACAATTTCATGCTCTTCAAAGTGGTATGTTTAGAATGGAATCTAATGAGCTTTTGCAGTAAACATAAAGATGGTTTCCAAAGAGAGTATTTTAACTATATCATTGACTTCTTTCATATTATTTTATTTTTATGTATCTCCTTCCACTCAATTCTTTTATTGAGATATAATTCACATACCATAAAATTCATCCTTTCAAAGTGTGCAACTCAGTGGTTTTTAGTATATTGACAAAGTTGTGCAATCACTACAATCTAATTCTAGAATAGTTTTCATCACCACTCACCCAGAAAAAGAAAAGATGTACCTATTAGCAGTCACTCCCCATTCTGCCTGCCCCACCCCCCACCCCGTCACCAGCCCCTGGCAACCACTAATCTACTTTCTGCTTCCATGGATTTGCCTCTTCTGGACATTTCATGAAAATGGAATCTCACAATATACAGCCTTTTTGATTGCCTTCTTTCACTTAGCATGTTTTCATGGTTCATCCATGTTATAGCACACATATTTATACTTTTTCCTTTTTATGGATAAATAATATTCCATTGCATAGGTATATCACATATTGTTTACCATTCATCATTTGACAGGCATTTGGGTTGTTTTCACTTTTTTGGCTATTATGAATCATGCTGCAAGGAAATTTTTGTACATATATTTGTATAGACAAACGTTTACTTAGGAGTAAAATTGCTCAGTCATATGGTACCTCAAAATCAAACTTTTTGAAGAACTATTTTCCAAAGCAGCCACACTATTTTATACTCCCACCGGCAATGTGTGAGAATTTCAATTTCTCCACATCCTCACTAACATTTACATTGTCTGTATTATCTGCCTTTTAATTTTAGCCATCTTCATGTGTTTGAAGAGGTATCTCATTGTGATTTTGATTTGTATTTTCCTAATGACTAATGATGTTGAGCATCTTTCCATATGTCAGTTTTTGGCCCTGTAGGGTTTTGGCATTCTAAGGCTGAGATGCTGGGACATGATTGTATTCTGAACGTGCTGTTAATTTCTTCCTATCAAATCTAAAGAGGAGCGTGTTTTATTCGAACAATAACAAATATGTAGGCCCTTTCTACAACAGGTGTAGTTTTTGCCTGAGAGCCTAGCGAAGAGAATTAACTTAAAATTTAAAAACAAATTATCTCACAAACTAAATGAGTAGTTGAATAAAATTAATTAACATGAATAATATATAAGAGAAGCTGCATTGGAAGAAATTTTATTATTTAAGTACTTGCTTAAAAGATATTTATTTTCAGTGAAACCCACTGACCCCTCTAATCCTCCTATACTAGGCAAGCCAGCACCACTGCTCCAGACATCCAGTAATCTTGTAGTGTACTATAGGGAAGAAAAAAATTTCTTCTACCTTTCGAGGGTCTCCTAGCTGGTCTAATAATCAAATTGACACAAGACAGATTAACAAGAGAAAAAATGAATTTAATTATATCCATAAGAATATGAGATCCATATGCAGTCAGGAAAAAAAAAGACTTATATGCCATCATGAGCTAAGAAAAGGAGAGGGACCTGGGCTTCAAAGAGAAGGAAGGCAAATGTTTTCAGAGACAATGGGACACAGAGAGAACATTGATCTCCAGGCCCTGTGGAGCTCCCCGCAGCCCGCCACACCTAGTCTATTCTCTTTATAGTTAGCTCTGGTGATAGTTCTTTTCCTGAACCAGGACCTCTATCTAAATTCATTTAGGAAATTAGAAAGGAGGTAATAAGCTCTTCCTGAGTCTTTTTGGGTCTTAAGTGTCTTTAGCTCAAAATAGTCTGCATACCGAAGTGGCACATTCTGGGGTGACACCATCTGAACCCCTCAGTATAAAGATAAACGGGCACTCCCTTAGGACCAAGATTGAAAATTCCTTCAGAGAGCTCTCAGAACAACTAAGTCACACACAGGATGTTTCCTGACTGCTGGGAAGTTTAAAATACTCAGTTGCTCAATAACAAGAATTACAAAGTGTTCCCAGTTTGCAGTTTAGGGATTGGGGGGCTAAATTCCCAGGGGCCTGGAAAGGAGAGTATATCACTAAGAATCTCTAAGTGTAAACTTGATTAAAAACAAAGTTGATTTCCACTTATAGTGCAAATCAGGAAACTCCTAAAAACGAGATTGCTAATCCAATGAGAATCCTACTGAGGGCATTCTGGGAGCTTCTTACTTGGGAAAGCCCTTACTTGGGAAATTGGATTCTAAACTTGAACATCTCTTCCCCATGCACATTCTCTCATCCTGTGAGTAAGTATTATGACGAATTATTCTGCTTTTTAGATCTTATAGTAGTAGGAATTTCAAACCAAAGCAGACTTAAAAAACAAAAGTTGCAATCGTTTACACAATAGTCGATTCTCTGAATGACTTCCGTCAGATCCTGATTGTGGGAACATCTTAGCCCCTTTGCTCCTCTGGAAAGCAGCTAGCTGGAGAGACTAAAGAAGGAAAAAGAGTGGCCAGCTGCTAAAGTTGGCATTTGTTTATTTTGTGAAGACCCAGACTTTACTAGGTGGTAGTCATGTAGTTTGGGGTATGAACAAAAAGGGTCCATATACTAAACCTGACAAGCTCAGGGGGACCCACATGGCAGGTCTTACAAACTCAGTGACCAAGAGTAACCACAAAGAATGGCCAGTCATAAATTCCTCACTGGGCAGACCATGGAAGGTAGCCTCGTCCCAGGCCTATAGTTTCCTTAGCAAAGGTTAATCTTTACCTTAAGCCAGCTGTGTCCATTGTTCTCATGCATCTAGGAAAACATACCTTTGAAATGTCAGCATAATTTTCTTTTCTAGACCCCCTCGGCACCACCTCAGGCACCAGAGCACAAGACCACAGAACCCCTCATTGTTGCCTGGTTGCCATTTCCATACTGTAATTATTAACTATCTTATACCCACCAATGTAAAAGAAGTATGTGTTTCTCCATTTTCTTTTTATTCAATCCTAGCGATTTCCCTGCTTTGCTTTCTTCTGCCTTTTAATCTACCACAACGGATTTTATGTAACCCTCTCTCTGTCTTCTCTTTTGATGCTAATGTATAAAATAAGCAGCAAAACCGCCATTCTCTGGAGCGTTTTCTCAGTCTATTGAGGTTTTGTTTCCAGGCATGTCCTCAAAATTTTGGCTCAAATAAATTCTTATAAAACTTTTCTATACTCTGGACATTCTTTTGTCGACATGGGCAAATTACTTACTTTTTATGAACCTCCATTTCTTCTGAAAAACTGAAGTAAGGCTGCTTACCTCAAAAGGCTAATTTGAGTCACAAGTAAACAACAACCACGAGAGCACTTGGTATATTAAGAAGCGATACATGAAGGAAGCTATTTTTGTTTTGCCCTTTCCTTCAATCTTCAGTGGGAATTTTCTTTCCTTTTCTTTTCAGACTTCTCCCAGACACCAATCCTAAACTCAGGGAATAATTCCAGGCATTAAGAAGGTATTCAATAAAAGTTTTCTTAGATCCAGTTTTCTGGATGAACAAAATATCGAATAGATGAATGGATTTGGTCACTTAACATATATTTATTGGGTGTGTATTATGTTCCAGAGACTGTTCTAGACACCAAAGAAATATCTGTGAACAAAACAGACAAAACTCCATGCCCTCATGGAGCTTCCATGCTAGAAAGGCGAGGGAGGCTCTAAGCAAGTAAGTCATTAAAACGCATCAGGTGTTAACTGGTGGTAAATGCTATGAAGAAAAATAAAGCAGGGAGTGCTAGGCTGAGGTGAGGCCAGAGAAGGGTCCAGGTATTCTTAAGGGCTCCAATTCAGTCCCAAAAGCTGAATTCTTTGGGGTTAAGTTAGCTTTCCAGGGCTCATTTCTAAAGAGACATTATCTTCTCCCCAGCTCAGTGGTCACTCTGGTCCCAGGCTCTCTGCAGCCAGGCTCAAAGTGAAAGAAAGGCTAGGCAGCAGTTGTGAGGGAGACAATGACAAACCAAGCAGATGGAAGGAGACCCTGGGGCAGCGCTCCAGGCCACACACCCTGGAAATTAGATCACCTTCGGAAAGATTCTCCACCTTGGCTCTGTCTAAAAAGTCCTGTGCTGTGCTTCCTAGAACAGCACTGACGGAAACCAGTTTCATACACTTCAAATCCTTTCCCTGTTTGTCTAGCACAAATGACACATTCCTGTCCAAACTCAGCCAGACCAACAGCTGCTAATTCCCTAACAACACTGCCCTAACAATTCTTGCATGGAATGTAATTAGTCCCGGCGCAGAAGTAGAAGTTTATATTTCAGAAAACAAAACCTTTTCGAAATTCTTTTTCTCTGTCTCCCTTGCTACTGGATCACCCACCCCCAGGAACCACTTTTGACCAAGCTCGGCAGGGGGGGTCACTTCCTTCAGCAATTTGAAAGACCTGTGCAATAGCAATGCTGAGAGTACACTGCATAAATTATAGCATTACAACAGCTCACATTTACACAGAGCCACCATGGGCTGTTTCTTGACTTTATGGAATTATCAGTTTTTTGCCTCAAGAAAACTTTAGTAGGAAGCCTGGACAAGCCTACAGAAAATTATTTAGAATTACATAATGTCAGGGTAAATAGGCCATACCAAACTGTCTGGTCACGGATGGCAAATAGCACTTGTTCCAAATACTTGATGTTGGCTCTGTGTAGCAATGGGCTGTGAAGGCGTCTCAGGCAGCTAGCTGGGAAGGGAAATGGTGAACGATTGATTAGCAATGTCTACCATAAATGAGGTGCAGTAAAGGGGCACCCCTTTTGGGTATTTACAGTGCCTAATCTAGTTCCAATTTCTGATTTTACAAATGAAGGAACTGCTACTCAGAGAGCTGAGGTGACTTCATCAAGATCATACCACCAATGAGGAGCAGAGCTGACCCTGGAGTCCAGCCTTCTAGATTTCCACCCTAGTATTGTTTTCCAACATCAACTCTTTTGGCCCTCATTTACAAGGTCTAGAGAGGGCCGATTTCATGAGGCAAGGAGAGATTATGGACCTGGCTGGCTTCATGTAATGCCTGACATGTAGCTCACAGTGATCAGCTACTCAGTGGTCCCAGCCTGGCTCCACTGTAGCCTGCTCCTAGAACACTTGCTTGCCTCAAGCATTGCAGTTC